CATATAAGACTGCAGTTCTTGATCTTAAACATTTCGCGTATAGTACCTACTGGTTCTGAAGCTTGCAGACTTTTTATAGCTACTTTGCTATCTGTGATGATGTTTAGGCTTGAATTACATAGTACTACTAAAGCTGTTGTCTATATCGCACCGAGCTTAGCACGAGTTGAAGAGGGCTAATCTATTAAACTATTACTAAAACTAATACTATCTTGACTACCTGTGTTCTCATCAACTACTACCTACCCTATTTCCATTTTGCTAAAAACTAAATTATCTGACTCTCTGTTTACCAATGAACTATCTGTATAAATGCTTATTTCCTTCTTCCTTTTAATTTTCCTTGCAATATCTATAAGCTCACTCTGAATACTTTTTTCTCCTATCACTCTTTGTATAATTGCTTCTTCTAAGTTTGCTACTCTAACTTGTATGCTATCTTGTATCCTACTACATTGTGGTATGTTAACATAGGAGTATCTTAAGAACGATGAGAGTGGAACCTTTATTTCTGCTATATTTCCTTTTTTTTTCATGACTCCACTTAGCAGCTTATGTTGCTTGTTTGCATTTTCTATAATAATATATTCTGTATTATTTTTACGGCCTAAGCTGTACCCTTCACACTGAGATAGTCTCGTTTGCAGATTATCACTACTCTTATCCACTTTCCAGTATACTAATACAAGTCTTTCTTTTGTCTTCTTCACTATTTTACCTACTATCATCACATTGTTTTTATTAATTATAACCCATTCTTTCTTTCTTTTATCAGTGTTTATACCATGCTTTCCTACTTTAAGTGCTACTTGATTTATTCCAACTATTTGAAATACGTTTAAAACTTTTCTTGATAAGCTATCCTCTAAAATCTTTGCTTCTAGTTCCTTGAACCAGTTTGGCTTTCGACCTCTCAACTTGCTTCCTCTTAGAAATTTAATCTGTTGCTATTGAAGCATAAACTTGCCATTTTCTTCTAGTAGTTGGCTTACTGTAAATATGTTTAAACTCTTGCTTTCTATAAACTCATTCAATAGTTTGCCTTCTAGCATCTCACTTATTTCTAAACTCTCTATTTCTAGGTTGTTTATGTCTCTAAGCATTTCTTGAAATCTGAAGCCGAGTCTTGTTATATTACTGACTATATTATATAATAAATTATTTTTCATCCTGTTTACTTTAAACTTGCATCTTTCGTCAAGCAGGCTGAATTTTGACTTGCATTTCAGTTGAGCATCTTTTAATCTAAGCTGTGTTGTAATACCTATACTCTCACCTTGATTTAGTTGTACTGTAAGTTCAGTGACATGATATGCTATTTGGTTCTGCCAGATAGATCTCAAACCTAGCATACCTAAATGACTACATATACTGTTAGTAGCTGACTTTGCAAGTTTGATTTTGTTTTTATTTAGCAACCAAATTGGTCTCTAAATTTGGTCACATTTTGACTTTGAAAGAAAGGAGGTATGTAATCTGTACTCAATACTAGGAAGCAGAATGCTATTGTTCAGGTATATTAGTTAACTAGCTGAATTTTTTAAATAAATTTTAAAGATATAAAATTTTTTTTTTTTATTAATATTTATAAATATTTTGATATTTATTTTTGATAAAAAGTGAATAAATTAAAAACAATTACAGTATTTTGAATATAATTAAAGACAATTATTATGTTTTAGAGATGATTATATTATATTAAAGACAATTACCATATTTTGAAGATAGTTATACTATATTAAAGACAATTACTGTGTTTTGAAGAAAATTATATTATTTTAAAGACAATTATCATATTTTGAAGACAATTATACTATGTTAAAGTTTGTCTTTACAAAAGTGAATGATATAATTTAGGAGTAGTATTTTAGAGACAATTACAATATCTTGATATATGTTATAATAAATTGCTAGCAAAGTTATACTTTTGTATATATAAAACAACTAATCTCAAGATCGCAAATAAATAATTATAATTAGACCTAAACAATTTTAGATTAAAACAATAAAAATTCTCTGAAATTACATAATCTAAATATTATGCCATCTTGAGTATTTGACTTATGTGATTTCAGAGATTTTTCATTGCTCAAATAATGAAAAATTCTAGCAATCACTTAGGCCTAAACACTCTAACTATCAAATAGTAATCATTTAACAAAAATATCATAGATAAATATATTAATACACTTTGCCAAAATATCACTATAAAATCTTTATTAAGCAATTTCTGAATGACTATGTACAAATAATGAAACCTATGTATCTCAGTAAATTTGTAAAATTGGACCTTCATTTTAAGTATTTAAATTTAACAAAATGAACCTACTTTTAAATTGTGGAGTATTAATAGTGATATTACTTTATACAACACTGAATCAGGATATGAATAAAGATCCAATTTATAGAGGTATTTAGAAAAGGTCCAACTCTACGAATCTACTGAAATAGACAAGCCACAAAATCTATTGCAATTAATGAAACATAAATAACTTTTATAGTAAAAATATCTTTAATCATTTTTAATTTTCGTCAATTTAAAAATGATGCAATTCTTACATAAGATTTAATGTAATAGACTGCTGATTTTCAAAATTAAATTCAGGAATTAAAAAGACTGAAATAAACTGCCTTGGATATTGCTATCATTATAGAAAGAAGTAAACATAAGGTATATATTTATTATCAAAAATCAGAAATACTGATGTATTTATTAATGATAACTTTGATATTAATAAAAGAATATTTTGAGAAACCTTCAATCGAGTAATGCTAGGACTATTCCAAAGTACTATGTATTGGTATCTATATATATGTACAAATTTTGTGTATCATTATACATAGTACAATTATGAAGTCACATCAAAATCTCTATTTTGAGTAATTTAAGGGTTATTAATTAAACCAAGCGCCAATTAAATAATACATTGTGATATTACAAAATTTTTGTTATGTTTTTTTTAGAATTGCATCTTCTCAGTGAATGTTCGGAATTTTGAAAAAGTAAATACACTAGTTAATGCATCATAATTAGTATTTCAAACATTTGTGTCAAAAATTTTAATACTTAAGTTATTAAGCGAATTATTTACATTTTAGAGTATCAATATATTGTAAAAAAATTAAAATTTTAAATACAAAAGAAAAAATCTTCACGATAAATTAAAAAGCATACTTTTTTAACCTATTCTATATTTCCTTTAAGTTCGAATAATTAATACTGTGAGAGGAGTCGGATTTAAAGATTTATCACTTTTGTAAATTACGTACTATTAAAAAATGATTTTCATTTGTGTAACAGCACGATCATAATAAAAAAATTGCCCTAATTGTTTAACTATGGGTCTATATCAATTTTTGTTACAATTAGTCGATCAAACACCCCAGCGTATACACTGGGTCTCTTATTTAACATAAAGGAAGTAAGCATTAAGGCCGAATAGACCTTTCCCTGAGTAACTAAGAGCCGTATACTGGATAATTTGTGTTTAGTATAGAGATATTACGATTAACGACATACGACAAGATTGTTAATAGGATCAATCAGTTTAGATTACGTTGTTTTGTTATTAGAATAGTGATCAACGTTAAGATCACTTTTAAAACTATTAGTTTATTATACGTTTAAGATTAAACCCGATTGTTTAAATTAGATTATTCCCGACCTCCCCTTATTATATCACCATCCCGATTGATTATATCATTGATTATATCATCCCTAATATAGTTATTATCGCTATTATAAGTCGCTCTCCCAATTTCCTTTATAAACTTAGCGATTCTTACCTATTACCTGTTAACTATTGGAGCTAAACCGTGCACTGTTACTCGCTCTCCCAATTTACAATAGTAACACCGTGACAATTCTATATAATTCTGCAAATAATTAATAATATAAAAATTGATTAGGGGTGAGGTATACTGCAGAGCAGTGTTTAAAATAGGATTTGAAATTTACCTGTGCATTATTTTTCGGATATTTCAAAAAAACTTTCTTGACCACTCTCGTATTCAGGTCCATTCATTGTCTACATAGAAATTTTCAGCCTGTAGAAGCATTGAATCGAACATGTACCGGCTGCTTCTAAAATTCCAAAATTTTTACTATGCTATTTTAAACATAGCTACATAGTACTGTTTCTGAAAATCTTGATACCCCGTTTAATGTTATTAATGGTAGTAGACATAAAGCAGATAGTATAATATACTATAAAACAAGAATGCATATGAATTAAGTGTTTTAGAAGTAGAAGATGCTTCGATATTTATAAATTAGAACGAGAAATGAAGAATCAAAAAGACCGACTTGAATCGTGGAATTTTTGATAGAAATGATATTAAATTCTCAGAATGCATTGTAAATAGCTAAATTAATTTGTGAAATTAATAGTTTTTACTTTATTAATATTAAAATTAAAATTTATATTTTTAGAATTTGTGATTAATATTTATACGATGATTAGTGACGGGATCCGCGCGGGATCACGCGCGCAAAATGCGCGTGATTTTTTGGATCCCGCGCTGATTTTTAATATGCTCCCGAATTCAAGCCAGCCGGCCCGCATTAACAAAATTTTAAGAAACCCACAAGGTAATCTCTATCCCGCGCATCACGCGCGGATCCCGCGCGGGATATTTGGGAAAACCACAATTTGCACATCACTAACGATGATACTTCATGGAGTTTATGTTTGTCGATTTTTGACATGTTTGAAATATCTGGAGATTTTAGTGAGTTTCGTTTTTTAAAAATACTTGACCGTGCTGTTATTAAGCATTCAATTGAAACTGTCAAATGAGGAAATATTGATCAAGGTTGTTTCTTCAACCAATTCAATAGGAAGTCCCTTTTAGCTATGTATATTATATATAAACGGTTTATTGCTAACGTTTTTATGAATATAACAAGGGAATGCATATATTTCAGATAAGAATTTAAAGATTTAATCAAAATAAGATTACGCCTACTGCGAAATGTCCATTATTGAGAAGAAAGTTGTCTATGCTACAAAATTTTTGGTAAAATATTTCGCTCTCCACATTTTTCCTTTAATATATACCAACACTAATAAAAATATACCAATAAAACATAGACCACTTATAAAAATAAAAGTCCAACGAATACCAAATTTATCTTCTATTGTAGTTTCAAAAATTGTCAAAATTCCAGATACTAAATATCTAATAGAATTATTTAATGCTGTCACTGAAGCACAATGTCCGGGACATGCATCAATGAGATATATTGCTAATGAATTATATGCAATTAATAATCCAAATGAGCCTTTATAAATTAAAAAATAAAAGTTAAAAATCAGGTCCTTTCGATAGAGTTCAATAAAAATGTAATTTGTACTTACAAAAGAACCATATAACCAATAATACTTCGTAACGAAAACTATTCTCTAATAGCCATCCATATACAAAGCAAGTAATCGGAATTAATAATGAGCCAAACCAGACGCTAAGTATTCTAACCTCTGGAGAAAAAGTTCCATCAGCATTTAATTTTTTTCGTATCAGATATTTTGTATATTTTTCGCCTACAAGATTCGCGGTTATAAACCCAGCACAAGGTGCAAGAAATAACAATCCAATAACTGAATCTGATAAATTATATTTTACGAAAAAATTCCTAGGAACACTAATATTTTGAACTTGAAATATCGTATATACCACAGTCACATACGTCACCACAAGCGCAATGTTTGGACATCGTAACAATTTTAGTGGAGTGATTGGATTAAACCGAAATTGCGATCGAGTTTGAGGGGCTGAAACAGGTTTTAAAGAGTTTCTATGAAAAGTTTCGGGAAGAAAGAAGAATATCACGAGAAGGAGGATGGCAGCGAATATCGCCAAGAACCAAAATATCCAACGCCAGCCAATATATTGTACAAGGAAACCACCAGCCATAGATCCAATAAAAGGACCAATCCAATAAGCCAAATAAAATAATCCGTAAGCAGATCCTCTTTCTGTAAAGAATAACAAAATCTCGTAAATTATGCAAATTTAAATTTTTAATCACGAATTTAAATCATAATCATGAATATCATTACCAATTGGAACATAAATATCACTTATAATTCCAGCGCTAATAGGCAATAGGGCAGAAGAACCACAAGCCTGAACAGAACGCATTAATATCACTATCCAAATTCGTTGTGCCACTGCACATATTACTGATCCCGTGATAAAAGTCAGAATAGAGAGCATGTACACTTTTCGTCTTGTCGCATATTCGTCGGAGTAAGAAGCCCACGCTATTGGCTGTGACAGAATTAATGCGTTAAGGGATTATGTATATATAGTCATGTGATAAAATGTCTCTATAAGAAATCTTGACACAATATTCGGCACACCAGACTTCGATCAAGGGTTCGGTGTGCTCAAAATTCCATGGAATCTGGGGACAGAAAAAAAAACTCGACATTTCCGTTCAAAATTTCTTATAGGTTGGGATGTACTTTACCACTATTCCCATAAAAAATAGGTACACTGAAGCTATATAAGGAAGATGATAAAATGAATGTGTGAATGATAATGTAATTTTCCTATAAAAAATTTGAGTTCGTTATGGCACATAACTGGCAATATTTTTGCATTCAGTGCTAGTTTCTTGAGCCAAAATAGTCAAATATTTTATAGGGTTTATTATCAACCTTACAATTATTATTAAATTACCTAACGAACTGACAGCCATGGAATTTGTATTAAATTCTTTTTGTATCGTTATTAGCGCGGGAAATATAACACTGAAATTTTACCAATTAATTAATTGTAATTATTGTTAACATCCTTATTTTAGGTAATTAAAAAATACTTACGTGCTCGTAATAGGTGCTAACATTCCTGAAATCGTTGCGATGATCAAAACCAGCCATTTCTTTTTCGAGGGCCAATTCTTCGGGTCATTGCCAGAAAATGTTTCACTTAACTCTACAGAATCAGATGGGTTTTCTATAAAGAATAAAGATTAATTGATTATGGGTGTATTTGACTTTCCGAATTCTAATTTCGGACCAGTGCAGAATACATGTGATGCAGAAAATTTTCAGACAGTGCTGTGTAACTTGATCATGTGATTATTAATCATAGTTAGAGATATCTCAGTATCTTGCAAGAATAACCGAAGGTGAAATTCACCAGTATATATATCTGTTTAATTATTTCTTAATAAACAATTTTTCTTTAACTCTAGGTTAGGGTGAGGTTTATATTAGGGTTCGAATGTTTATTATATGTAAAATTAAATGCAGAATACTTTTACTTAGCAAGTTTACATAATAAAATTTTAGGATAATAATGATTTTTATTTTTTTCTTTATTATCGTTACACAAGATCTTGCGATTTTATTGGTTAATCATATAACCGGTGAATTTTACCTCCAGTGAGCGTTAAAATAATCCATCTTGCAATCAAAGTTTTAAAAATTTCAAACGTATATCAAAAATAAGAAGCCAAGAAAAGATTATGATTTTTAACTTTTTACCTTCATTTTTAAAAGAATTTGTTATGTTGATACCGAATTCTTCGATGTCAATTCCAGAATCAGAATCTTTGTACAAATGAAATAATTATCAAATAATTAATAACCATGGTTTTAATTTCGCGATTTTGAAAAATGAATAAATGACAGGATTGTACCAAAATTTTTAACTAAATTTCTGTCGCTCATTATTTCAGAGAAAATTTCAATTTAAAAATTTAAAACCAAATCTTTGTTTTTATATGAATATATGATGTTTATCATGTTTACAGATATATAGCATCAAGAGCTTGAAGTAGCTATAATTAAACGATAATTCTATCAACGATAGAGGTGATAAAAATGCTTTACCTAATGTGGTACCTGTGCGACAAAATAAACAAAGTATATTGCAATTGAAATTTGTGGAAAGAGTCAACTGGATATGCTCAAATTGCAGCATAAAAAATCTACACGAAACATATGTATATCCACAAAAGTGTCATATTTCCGTGCCTAAAGCATAAAAAAATATGACGTTTTTGTACATTTCCATGCTGAGATTTTGTGGAGCAGACGTTAAGTACGTACCAATAAAAATTTTTAGCAGTGAAGCAACCCTAAATATTTGGACTATCCATATAAATATACCGTACGCTAAAAAAAAATTGCAAAAAGGATGTAAATGCACGTCACTAACTGTACATACTGCACCAATAGTCTCTTGCCATTAATGCAAGCTTTTATTTGTGATTACTTGAACATGCTCTCTAGTAAGCGGTTTGCGCTTTGAAGGATATGTCATCATGGTATTATGGAGACAAGTAATATGTCTAAGATGCATGTGAGAATTTTTTTTAATTTATCGTTATTCTTTTATTTACCAAATATGGGTATCATAACTATAAACAGAAATAAAGGAAAAGATAATAAAGTTTTTCTTTAAATGGAAATATTTTTGTAAGTTACTAAATGAGAACAAACGGCATTAAAAGCAAAATACGTAGACATGCATCTTTGTTTACTTTTGCTTATTGATGCACCATTAAAGATTCAAAAATTTGGACATTCCGACCAAATTTTCGTTACCATTATTATTATTATCGTTATCGTTATTATTATCATTCGTTATAATCTCATTATATCGAATGTTATGCATAATAATAAATTGTAAGCTTTATGATTTCTCTTTTTTGTTTCGTTGCACAAGGTCCTGCTATTTGATTAGTAGGTCTTTCTTTACTAGGCATGAGGTACAGTATTTGCAGTGTTGTTCCTTAAATACGGGGTACTTGGGTCTATTTCCACAAGATTTCAACCAACTTGGGCTATTAACTTAGATAGCGTATCTGATGAAGTGCAATTTATACGATAACTGATTTTTTTTCGTGTATAATGCATCGATTCCGTTCACTTCACCGATACTCATTTTACCGAATAGGTCATATCCCGGCTCAAAAAGCAAAAACTTCTTTTCCAGCTCCATTATCTCTATCTTTCCTTGTCAACTTTCGTTCAACCCGATTTAGGGTTAGGGTTAGTTAGTGTTGGCCAGTTTTTATGGGTAAAATGATTATTGGTGAAATGACACGGAACTGAACACTAGATTGGTCGGTAGAATTTATATAAAAGCCATGGCAAAAATTTTTCTGATACGTACTGTACATACGTACGTACATACAGTGCATTACATATTTAGTTGCTTACTACATATAAAAAACTTAGCTAAATATCCCCGATCATGCCATATATTAATATTCCGATGGATCGTAATATCTGGTACCAAGAATCACCGGGCATCGAAATTCACCATGACAGTACCTCTCAGCTAGTCTTTTAACCGGTTATTTGGTCCCTGTCCTGAGACAGTCCTTATAAAATAACCAAAATTATTAAAAATTATACACAATTTATTACGTAATTGCTTATTTCAATTACCTTTAAAGACCGAGTCTTTAACTGGTCTCGCAGTTATTTGGTCCCCAGTTTTGAGACCAGTCCAGACCAGAGTCCAGACCAGTCTTAATTAATAGTTAAAAATCGCCAATTAAATTTATTTTTAAAAAAGTATATTACATAATCAACTACTGCCATATTCAATTCTCTCCGCTAGCCAATAAGATGGTTAAAGGTTTAAGTAACTAAGGGACCGAGACTGGACTGAAAACGTTAATGGACCGGTCTATTAGGATCAGGACGGACCGGACCGGGCTTGTCTATCATATTCAATCACTTTGTCATAATTTAATTCTTACAGCTGTTATCATTATTTCTGGAACACCTGATAATTTTTGCTCGCTATCGAATCATTCTCAGTTTCATTCGGTAAATTGCCTAATCTCTCGGAAACTATATCACTGTCTTCGGATCTTCAATCTGAGGACAACATAGTTTCCGAGAGATTAGGCAATTTACCGGATGAAACTGAGAATGATTCAGTAGCGAGCAAAATTATCAGGTGTCCCAGATAATGATGCCTGACGAATGACGAAACTTTCGTCAGTGACAAATGACGAAACCATTTCGTCAGGCAACTTCGAGTTGACGAAATGACGAATGACGAAACTAACGACAAATGACGAAACTCATGACAAAACTCATGATGAATTATAAATTTTATATGTAATATAAGAATTTGGGCGTAATAAATTCAAAATACTATTTATAATGATAATAGTGTCCATGTGAAATTAATTCTTGGTTCGATATCTACCCAGTTTCTTTTTTTTTTTCGACACGTAAATCCGACATTACCCGATGATTTACAAAAATCACCCGGATATATCCGATGTGTCTAATTATCGGCTTCGGATTCATTGTAAAGCTAAAATTAAATTTGTATGAGCTTATTAATTTTGTAGAGATAACTTTTTATAACGAACTGACTATTTAAT